GGCCGTTTTCGCGCGCTTCGGGGCGTCAGCGCTCGCAGTCCGCAGCCACCCCGCCCCGCGCGGCGCCGAGACAATGGCCCGGAGCCCGCTCTTCCTCCCCCGCCGGCTGACGCGTCCTACAAAAATAGCTCCGGGCTCCCGGAACCCCCGCCCGAGCCGAGCCCGCGCCCTACCTGCCTGCCCGCTGCCCGGGGCTGCACAGCCTGCTTCGGGGAGTGGGTCCCCGCTCCGCCCGCTCTGGTGCGGCCCCGAGCCGGGAGCTGGCCGGGGAAGGGCAGCGCTGGGGTGAGGACGGCAGCGCCCCTGGAAAGGAGGGCGGTGGGAGCAAACCCTCCCACCCACAGGGGAAGGGACCCGGCCTCAGCAAGCCGCCACCCGGGATGCGTTCCCACCCACCCTCGCAGTGCCCGAGGCCTGGCTCTTCAGGTACATCCTGGCTCCGGTTCCTACCGGAGCTCCTAGGGGCTCCGCCGGCCATCGAGTGCTCGGTAGCCGGGACTGTGGCCCGGCCACCCTGGGAGCCACACTCCCTGCTCTGTTGCGGCGGCGGGGACAGGAGTATCCTAGGCTGTGATGGGGGAATCAACCTAGTACGTGCCTGGTCACACAGTCAGGTGACAACCTAGGGCAGGGTTAGCACCTTGGGAGAGCACCCCCTGCCACCCCACTTTGGGCGCCGAGAACCACCTGCCGGCGGGTGAGCTCCCGAGGAATCGCAGCGCTGGGGCTCCAGACGCCTTTAGGAGCTGAGGCAAAATCTCCCTAGCTTGGAGCTGGTGGCGCACTGGATTACAAATACTGATATTCCCTCGGTTCCGCCTCCTGTGCCCCCAATTCTGGCTTGTAAAGAGGTATCATGTCCATGTTATCTGCGGCTGAGAGTGCTTTAGGCAAGACGCACGGGTCAGCTAGAGGACCTGCTCTGGGGAGAGGCTGCCAGCCGCGGAGTGGGCGAGCACATCTTCACAGCTTTGCTCACCAGATAGAAACGATGGAAACCGGGTCAAGGGGGAAGGCAATGAAAATGTTATTTATGCAAAAAAACCCCAAGATTTTATACAAGTACTTTATCACCTTCCTGTCTCATGCTATGGTAAAATATGTTACAGCACTATAGGGAAGTGTATAAGGAGACCCCATGTTTAAAATTCCCCTGGCTGCAGCAGCCATTGCGGTCATCCACCCTCCAGAGTGGGTCCAGGGACTGGAATGGAAAGTCAGGTTGGAAAGAATCCTGTGGATCATTCTGTCCAGTCCTCTCAGATGAGACCAACGCCCGGGCACTTGTGACTTTGCCACAGTGAAACCTGGATGCAGACTGCTCCAGGACCAGCGATCTGTACGCCAAAGTCTGAGGGCCCACCTGCTGTCCTCTGACTCCACGCTCCACCACACCCTGGTCCAGTTCCATGGGAGTAAAGCAAGCACACTGAATTCAGTTGCAAAGGATAGATACTCAACTCAAACTGAGTTGGGCAGAAATGGAATACAAGAGAACCTCCATAGTTGACCGCCTCCTTCTGTGGACCTAATTTTCACAGACTGGGCATGCACTGCATGTGCTGTGTCAGTACAGCAGGCCTGGTTCCTTATGTTGCCCACCTCCAGGTGTCAGCCAGTTGAACCCTTCGGTGGTCAACTTACAGAGGTCCTACTGTATATTCTCTCATGTCATTGGAAAATTCCGAATAAGGGTTCTCTTTAGGCATAGGTAAACCCAGGCACTCAAAAAGTCTTCAGACCAGGTGTGTCTCCACCTCCCCTCTGTTTTCCTCTGTGTTGATTGTTTTCCTATTGGGCAGCCTTGGACTCACATTCATGGTCTAGATCTTAGAGGGAAAAAGGCATATCTTTCTCCAATAATGCCAGCAAGTTTCTGGAGTGCACATCCCTTGGGCCATTGTGAACCAATCTCTACTGTCCACGAGGATGGACCACACTGAGTGATGTGGCCCAGGGGTGAAAATCAGGAAAGGTGGTTCTCAAAGAAGAATCAGGGCTCTGTTACCGGAAGGGCAACTGATAGTGAGTAAGCAAAAAATAACTGATCTCTACATAATTCACAATAATGTCATTTCAGTAAATGGGAACCCTGGGAAGACAGGATGAATTTTGAGTTTTTGCAATGATTTTCTTGGCTCTCTTTGAGGCCTGCGCCCTGGATAGCCACCTTCTCCTGAGACTGTTTCTCTTCTGCCACAGGCAGTGCTGAGGCTGGGTGCCAACCCAAGGTGAGCCTTTGATTAGTAGCCTGGGCCGTGAGCATTTGGAGGGGGACGCATCAGAATAGAACCCTCTTCATCTGGTTCCCACAAAAAACCTTAATGTGGAACTCCTTTGTGTCCCTTGCTTCTCCCCCTAGTCAGGGCTTGCTTTTACTTTAAAGATAGTAGGGAAGAGTATTTCAGTAAAGCAGCCAGTGTTTTCCTGGTGCTGTAATAATTACTAGCTGCGCCTCAGTAGTTTTGATTGAAGCCCCCACATTTTGCACCCCCATGATGGTGTTTAGCAATAAAGGGCTGTCTGCTGTCCAGTAAAAAAAAGCAGATTAATGGACGCTAATAGACCCTGCCAGGATGGAGCCATTAAACAGCAACTCACCATAATTGAATAGCAAGTGCTCTACCTTCTAATTTCACTCGCCAGGTAATAAGTTGATTTTACAGTTGATGACTTAACTTCTAACATATAAAAAAAAATGTCATTCCATTGGCTCACCTGGTAACTTTGCTTCAAATATGAATTTTAGTCAAAAAGCACTGGAATTGTCAAGCAAGGCCTACTTTGAGCATTTCTTCATGGACATACATCACGACCAAATTCCAGTGAGTGGATGATACTGGCTATGTTGTGCCACTTTCTTCATTTTAATTAATTCTAACAAGGCATTTTTCAAAGAATGGCGGGCACTGGC